GCGGCTCGTTTTCGAAATGTGGCACTCGCCTTAGCGCCGCGCGCATTTGTCTTGAATAACTGCGAGAATTTCACGGTGACATGGCGTTCCGGAGCGATTCAAGATTGTCAGGGCACAACAGTTACGCGAATTCGCGGCGTTCAAGTCCCAGGAAGAATGCTCTGGCACGATTCAGGACCGTCAAAACGCAACAATCACGTTGATTCGTGGCGCTGGAGTCCCGAGAACGGTGTGTTGGCACGCTTCAGGGTCTTCAAACGGTTGTCTCCCGATGGGGCACCTCCCTCAGTGGAAATGATTCCTTGCAGGGGCATGTGAAAAGGGAGCTTGGGGGAAGGGTTTATTCCAACATCGTTGATACGTCATGGGTTTGCATTGGTCCTCCTCCTCCTCCTCCTCCTCCTCCTCCTCCTCGTCCCCCCCCTCCTCCTCGGACTGGCGGCGACAATCATCACGTTCCCGGAAGGCTCTCTAAGAACATGATGTTTTGGGCCGTGCTGGGGCCCTCTGGGGGGCCTCCTGGCCCGTCTAAAGGGAAGGAGGGAAGGGGGCAGCGACTGAACATCCCTGCCTCCGTTCTCCGTCTCCGTCCCCCTCCTCGTCCTCATCCTCGTCCTCCTGCTCGAACTGGCGGCGACAATCATGTTCCTAGAAGGCTCTCCGGGAACATGATGGGTTCGGCCGTGTTGGGGAACCCTGTTGGAGGCCTCTCTATGGCCCTCCTTTCGGGGTGTCGAGGCTCATTTGGGGGGGCCGTCTTAGGGTTCCTGGGCCCCCCGTAAATCCCTCTTGGGTGTCCAGGCTCAGGTTCATTGGGGGGGAGGCGTCTTGGGGCCTCTTGGGCCTCTTAGGCCGTCTTGGGCTCCTCCTGGGCCGTCCTGGCGCCCTCTTGGGGCGGGTTGGGTCCCTCTTGGGCGCCTCTTGGGTCGTCTTGGAGAGATCTGGGGGATGTCTTGGGCAGCCTTGGAGCGTAGGCAAGGGGAACAGGCGGCAACTGGTGAATCCTTGAAAACCAAGAAATGATCTACGTTTCGAACCAACCGTGTGGGCCGTGTCGAAGCAAGCGTGTCGAAGCAAGCGTCGACGTGTTCGGAGCGTCTTGGGGCCCTCTTGGCCCCCTTTGGGGCCCTTTCGGGGTGTCAGATTTCATTTGAGGGGCCATCTCGGGGCCATGTGGGTCATCTTGGGCGCCTCTTGGGCCGTATCGGCGCCCTCTTGGGGGGTAATGGGGAACTCTTGGATGCCTCTTAGCCGTCTAGGAGTGTTCTGGGAAGCTTCCCGGACAGTCTCGAGGCGTCCAGAAGCGGAATAGACGACAACGGAGAAGTCTCTAAAAAACCCTTACGTAAGAAAATCCGCCATTTCTGATTTCTGGGTCTCGCTCGGAGGGCATTTTGGAACCCTTTTATGGCGTCTTGGTGGCCCTGTGGGCCGTGTCGAAGCAAGCGTCAATGTCTTCGGGGCGTCTTGGAGCCCTCTTGGCCCCCTTTGGGGTCCTTTTGGAGGGTCCAGGCTCATCTGGGGGGCTGTCGTGGGGCCTCTTGGGCCATCTTGGGCTGTTCTGGCGTCCTCTTCGGGTGTGTTGGGGCCCTCTTGGACGACTCTTGGGCAGTCTCGGAGCGTGGTAAGCGGAACAGGCGACAACGGGAACATCTGGAAAAACCAATGGGAGATCAGTGAACTCTGCATATTGTGAATTTTGCCCATTGGGGCTCTCTCGGGTGGCATGTTAGAGCTCTACGTGAAGCGTATCGAGGCAACGATGGGTGACCTCGGGGCGTCTTAAGACCCTCTTGGCCCCCTGTAAAACCCTTTTGGCGTGCCGGGGATCGTTTGGGAGGGGGATCTGGAGCCGTCAGGGAGCCCTCGGAGCCGTCATGTGGCCTACTCCGACACACACGCACACGCATATACATATATATGTATATATATATATACACCGATACATGCATACGCCTATACACATAAATAGAAAGAGATACACACGCGATCACCGACAATCCCCTGAAAACGCAGACTTCGTACGGCAATACCTAAACACAAATGTATTTCTGAACTTGTGAGGGGGGCCGATGCTCTGACCTGAGTGCTGCCAAGCACACAGTCGTCGCCACCTTCAGTGCCCCTTGGGGGGTGCTCCATCATAGTGGCGTGGCACGAGAATCAAAATAGGCATCGCTCTTCCTCGGGGCGAAATTCCAAACTAGATCACATGGTTGCCACCACTTGATTGGTCGGCTGTCACTTGGATCCAAATAGCGGGAGGGCAACGATCGGGCGCAACGAGGCAGATTAACGGACACACCTGGGAATGGTTGCCAACCCACACGCACACAAGTAAGTCACAACTTTCTCACGTCTCCTGTGGGGTCCAGCAGAATGGCGCGACGCGCAGTTCCAACTACCGCCCAGGCGCTGCCAATCGCCCCACCGTCGCCCGCTCCCGGCGCGGCGCCTCCGGGGTTCCACTGGAATGCCGCGGCACGCTGATCCGACTAGACCTCGTCCGTTTCGGTGTTGCCCTAGGGGAACGCAGAATTACATAAACATAAAACTATGAGATCCGCGCGGATTTCTCGGATCGGCGCTGAGCGCGGCGCCCGGGGCGCCGCCAAAGGGGTCCAACGCGGATCCGAGAAATCCGCGCGGACCTCCGAGTTGTCATATCGATGTCATTCTCCGGTCCCCTAGGCCAAGTGCACGACCACACACGTGCCTGAGCCTCTGGGGGTGCCAGAAGTGCGGTACCGCGCCCGCGTCCGACTGGACCTCGCCCGTGGATGCACGGGCGCTTCCGAATCAACGGCCGTCGCCAGAATCGCGCGCAGCACGGAGATCCGCACGAGACCTCGACCGCCCCCCCCCAACAAGAAAACATCACACGCCCTTCCACAAAAGGAGGCTTCTGCTTTCGGAGATACGTGTCGATTTCTGCTATATCGCCGATTTGCATGGCGCTACGTTGGGACTTCAAGAGAATCGGGAGGCGGTTGCCTTTCTGGCTCGGGCAAGCGATGTCTGGGCCGAGCAGGTTCGAACATCCCTGGCCGTCTGCCGAACACGTCCCGCGGGCGGACACACATGTATGAAGATGGCCCCCCGTGAAGAAGCGCAACGGGAAAAGTACGAAGAAGAACGGGCACCTGGGGGAAAGCAAGGGGGCCTGGGCAGAGGCCTGCCGATTTGTGAGCCCCAAGCGGGAATCAAGGTGATGTTGACATCGCGAAAGTGCGCACAGCAGAATTAGCGGACGCCGCATACATCAACCTGGGGGAACTTGGAAGAACTCTGTAAAGGTCACGGCAGACTCAACTTGTTCCCCAAGAGGCCGCACGTATAAGCTACATAGTTGATCGTACAGGAAGACCAAGTTACGGTTCTGAACCACCGCGAGAGGAAGCCACGTCCTTGGCCTAAGGAGTGCAACTCTGGACGCCCGAAATGGGTACGGAAAGAATGGGTACAGTGCCCAACAACAGATGTTGTCCGAAACCAACAACGGCCGCTGCTGGGCAGGCGGCCTTCTGCCTCGAATGGACACAGGCCGCGGCGGCGTGGACCGCGAATCCTGTTCAAAATGAACGGGAACTGCTGCTGGGCATTTTGCCCATTCTTTCCATACCAATTTCGTTCGTGCCGATGAACCACCACGAGCTTGCCATCGCTCGGACGTCCATTTCCTGTGCTTCTTTCGGTTTCGTGCGTGGCTTTTTCGCCAAATGGTCAAGGATGCTCCTCGATGGTCCTCGCCGAAGGAAAAATGCACACGCCCGAGCGATGCCAAGCAAGAGGAAGCCACGTCCTTGGCCTGGGGGCTGCGACTCCGAACGCAGAGCCTGCGTGGCTTCTCCGGAATTCGGGAGCGAGCGGCTCGCTCGCTCACACGATCGGCGCTGCTCTTACCACCACTACATCGCCTCTGGCATCACCACTCTCCTGAACACCGTCGCTACAGTCGACCCGCAGAGTAAGGGTGCGCAATGAGTATGCAAGGCCCTTGGGCGCCCATCTCGAAGCATTTCGAGCGGGGCACGGCCAACGAAAGAGTCCAAGGATGGACACAGGAAGCAAGGATGCAAGGGTTCCCTTGGGAGGGATGCCTATCTTTACTTTGCGGGTCGACTGTACCACCATTACATCGCCTCTGGCATCATCACCCTCCTGATCATCGTCGCTATGGTCGCCGTCATCGTCATTGCCATGTGCCGACGCAAAGACAGCTGCTTCGCAAAAGGGGAACCACCGTCCCAACGTCAAAAGCACCATGACCGCCATCCCCGCCATCATGCTCAATGTCAGCACCACGTGCTCATCACCGCCACCCCTGCTGCCGTCCTGATCACCACCATGACCAGCCTTGAGTTCACTGGTCGTTATCAAGAATCTCAAGCAAACGATAGTACCACTCTCCCGTGTCGGCTGGGTACTGCAGATCGTGCGGTGGGCGTCGTCCTCCTTCTCATCCGCTTCCTCCTGCCTCCTCATCATCATCGTCATCACCACCACCACCACTTTTACCATCATCATCATCATCATCATCATCATCATCATCATCATCATCATCATCATCATCATCATCATCATCATCATCATCATCATCATCATCATATTCATCATCATCATCATCATCAGCAGCAGCAGCAGCAGCATCATCATCCCTGCTCCCCCCCTCTCTCTCGCCCACACACACACACTCTCTGCTCATTCTCCCGATCGTCTCTCCTTTCCCCCTCCGCCCGCCTGTCGGCAACCCTGCCCCCTCTGCCACCTGCCGCTCCTGCGCCTCGCCCCCACCCCCCTCCCGCCTGCTGCCCCGACGCCAGCGAGCCAGCCATACCCACACGCCCCACGAGAACGAGCAAGGCCCAAGGCAGCGCCGCTCGCCCCCCCGCTGCCGCCCCCTGCTCCTGCTCCCGCCCCCCACCGCCGCCGCGCTGCCGCTCTTTCCCCCCGCGCGGGAGAGGCCCCGCGCCCCCCCCCCCCCACCCCCTGCCCGTGGCCTCCGGGAGGTCGCTCGCGGCCTCGGCCGCGGAGAACTCCACCTGCTCGGCGCCGTCGAGCACCGACGTGGCCGCGGAGCTCTGCCGCACGACTCTCAGCTCCCCGCCCTCCGCCGCCGCCGGCGCCGCCGCGCGCGGCCTCCTCGGCTCCTCGGCGCTCTGCTTCGCCTGCGGGACGGCGGCGGCCTGCCGGCTCCTCGCGGGCGGCCGTCCGGGGCAGCTGTGGCCGGGCGAGGCTCGGAGGCCGAGCGGCGGGGCACAGGTGCCGGTGGGCGCGCGCGGCCACAAACTGCAGCCGCGGCGAGGAAGGAGGCCTCCCGAGGGCCAGGATCGGGGAGACGTAATGCGGGATGACGATTCATAAAAAAATTAGAGAGAACGATTAAAAACATGGTTTCCTGCTATTTCTGCATAATTTTCTGACTGGATAAGAACGATTTTAAAACATAGTTTTCCAGCCCGCGGCTGGTTTTTTCTAATCGTCATCCTGGGCGCCGCCGCGTGAACACGACCCCCGGTCATTAATTAATCGTCATCCTCCATTAAGACTCGGGTGCGGGGGACTCGGCTTGGCCTGACGGGGCCATCATCAACATAGGGCGAGGCCCAATCTGAGACTTGACGCGCTGCAAGCGTCCCACGAACACTGGACCGTCAAAACCCTGGGCGGCGCGCTCGCCAAAAAACGTCGGCAGGCCCGAGTTCTGGCTTACTCGAGTCTTACTTCTCCCCGGCAAGGGAAGGGACCCAAAGGCGAGCGCGCGAAGAGGTGGCCGGGCTTCCTGCCAGGCCGAGCGCTCTGAAGGCCACGTGGGCAGCGGCGCTGCGGCGGGGGGGGCCCTCCAGGCCGCCCGCCCGTCCAAACGCGCGCGGCCGCGAGCAAGACGCGGCGGCCGGCCACGCTCGATGGGGCCAGAAGAACGGGAACCGCACACCACCGAAAATGGGAACAAAAAGACTACACGGACCCCAGACCCCCGACGTCGTGATTTTTTCACAACGTCGACCCCCAGAAGTCTGGACCCTTTCCCTGGGGCCAGTTTTGCATCCTGAGTCGTTTTTTGACGGCCCCGAGGCCCGGCGAGGGCCCCCGGAGGCCGAAAATAGCGGAAAACCTCCCGTCGTGATTTTTTCACGACGCCAGGAGGTCTGGGACCAAAGAACAACCCAAATCACTTGATGGTTCGATCGATGAGGAGATCGACCGGGAACCCAGGAACCCGGAACCCACCGAGATCGGCCTAGGACCATGGACCAGGAACCCGGGACCCCGGAACCCACCGAGATCGGCCTGGGACCATGGACCAGGAACCCGGGACCCCGGAACCGGGAACCGGGAACCCGGGAACCCAGCCGGCCACCAAAGTCGGCGGGAAACATTCGCCAGATCCTTCAAGTTCCGCTAGGACCACGTCAGTACAAGCACTGATTGGGGACAAATTATTATTAAAGATACCTGGCCAGCTTCCCTGCAGTTTCTTAAACCACGCCAGGGCAAATTATAACTGTTGACACTACAAGGGCACACGTGCTCAAGAAACTGGGCTAGCTCTCCGGCAAGTTGGTTAAGAAACGTTGGCCCAGCGTTTCGGGAAGAGGCTTCTTAATCAACTAGATGCTCGACTGTATTTTCTTGGGGGCGGAGCAGGGGTGGTGGAGGGGAACGGCGGCAAAGCCCAGAATCGATAAGTCGGATCGGCGGTCGAAAAGAATCGAATCGCCAGAAATCGGCAGCCGAGTCGGCAGAAGTGGAATCGGAGGACGTCGGCAAGCTCGCATAGGCCTACGCTGAGAAATCGAACCCAGATCGACCTCCGAATCCGAATCGAATCGAAGCCTCGGAAGCCATCGAGACCGAGCCGAATCGGAGGAGCCGAAGCGAGCCCTGGAACGCTGCCGGCGACGACGACGATCGACGACCGACGACCAGAGACCTGCGACTGCAGGCGACGACCGACGACTGACGGCCGATTGCGACGACAACGACCCACGACCATCGACGACGACGAAGACGACGACGAAGACGACGAAGACGACCACGACGGCCTTAACGACATCACCGTCGACGTCGACCTCGACAACGATGACGGCGACGCCATCGCCGACGACGACGGCGACGAAGCAGCCGTGGCGACGCAGGCGGCGCGGCGGCAGTCCCGTCGGTCTGCTTCTCGTGCGGCTGGCCGGTGGACTTCCTGCGGGTGCGGGGGGCGGGGACCGAAGCCGCCCTGCCCTCGCCGGCCCGCTCTTGCACGGCCGCCGGCGGGCCCTGCTTCTGCACGGGAACCAAGGGGCCGCGACTTCAGACCTCGCGATGCGCGAGACGTCGCAGAGGCCATCGGCTCGCCGAACACCCAAGCGCGCAAGTACCTCGGTTCCCAAAATCCGAGTCTGGGTCCAAGGGTGTTGAAGCATCAGCTATTGTTCCCCATATCCTAAGGATTGGGGTTCTTGTTATTACTCTGACGCCTCCCACGCGCGGACTCCTTCCTCCCGTTCG